GAGTGGAAGCGAGTGTCGGCTTCCGCTCTCATCCTCGGCTGGCCCCGCCCCGCCCCGCCCCGCTCCGCTCGCGAGCCCGCGGGTGGGCGGGCCTCCGGTCACGTGACGCCTGCGCAGGTGAGCACAGCTTCCGGGTCGGGCTTCGGAGTGGCGGCCGGCTCTCGCTTCCACTCGCTCGGGTGTGCGGGAGACTATGGCGTCCTCCTCGGTCCCTGCCGCCACCGCACCCGCGGCAGCTGGAGGCCCCGGCCCGGGCTTCGGCTTCGCCTCCAAAACCAAGAAGAAGCACTTCGTGCAGCAGAAAGTGAAGGTGTTCCGGGCCGCCGACCCACTGGTGGGCGTGTTTTTGTGGGGCGTCGCCCACTCGGTAAGAGCCGGCCCCAGACCCCGGCGCCTGCCTCTTGCCCTGCGGCTCTCCTGGGTCTGGCATCCAGAGCTCCTCGCGCTGCCACCTCTTCTCCTGCCCCGCCCCGTTCCCAGCGCCCCATTCCCGGGTGTCCCTCAGGCTGGCTTTTGGTTGTAGACTTTTGTCTCTCCGTCCGCCCTTTACTCCTCCCTGAACCAGCACTTTTCCTTGACTCCTTCCTGCCGGGTCCAGTCCCAGGCTATAGGGACTAGCCAAGGATCCGGCTCCAGCCAGAGGGACATTAAAGGGGAGTGGCTCTAAAGGGTTATTGGTGAGGTCTGGGTGCGTGCGTGGAGCGTGTCGGGGTACCTGCTTGGCGAAGGACGTAGTTTGATTTCCTCTCCACCCTTATTCCCAGCCCCCTTCCCCTGACTTTTGAGCCTTCGCTTTGTCCGGGGATAGCTCTAGGCTTTTTGGATCGTCTAACCCTGTTTGACCCTAGGGGATGCCCTCACTCAGGTCGTAATTCTAATACCTGCCTTTGGTCTTAGCTTCTTCCCCACTGTTGGTATTTGGTGTGGATGGAGTCATTTGGAACCGAGGAAAAGGCTGAGGAGCTGTGGTTCCAGGGACGCTATTGGTGAACTGTAGAAGCAGGAAAGGGCTTGGAATGGTGCAGCTGAGGCCCATGGGCCCAGTATACCTCTTTCCGCGAGCTTTCTTGGAGGAGCCAAAGCCATTGAGGTATGGCTGGTTGTCTCCTTCCTCATGTCTGGAGTAGGAGGGATGCGGTGATCTTCAGCTTGACAGGAACTATTTTAATCACCAACTCCTTTGAGTGGTGGAGGTTTAAGGAGGTGAGGAAGAATGTCGCACTCTTACTTTGTGATAGGAACATCATTGGTGGTCAGTGAGGTCCTATCTTCGAGATCCCATCTGCCTTTGCTGTTCCCTCAGTGGTCATAAGATCTTGAGTGAGTGTTCCATTTAAGGTGCTTGCTGTGGGTAAGACCGGTGAAGGTAGGGCAGTCTCACTAGAGGTACCTTCAGGTGGCTTACACATTCCTGTGGAAACATATAGGGGAGGGGTTTCCTTTGGTAAGACCTGGCTCGCGCTCTTTAGGTAAAATACTTTAGCTTTTCAGCCAGCACACATGCTCCTCAAGTGTGTAGAACAGAGAAATTCCGTGAACATATGTCTTAGCGATGAGTCAGCCTGCTTAGCAGGTGGTGAGGAGGGGGCAGGAAGAGCTATAGCTGAATTTTAGGCTGGGAATCTCAAGTGGCCGTTTTTTTTGTTTTTTGTTTTGTTTTGTTTTTTTTCTTTCTTTCTGGAGGAATATATTCTGTCCTCCTTTCTTCTGAGGACAAGAGCAGTTGTGGGCACTGCAGCATGAGGGATTTAGGTTAGGCTGCAATCTGTGACCTTCCTCAAATGATCAAAGAAGGACAGACAAGATATTCATCTACTCATTTAATAAACAGTTGGGGACCACTGTGTGCCAGACAAGCATCTGAAAGGTGAATGGGCCCTTGCCCTTGAAGAGCTTGAAGCTAGGGGGAGGGACTTAGTATAAGCTGGGATTAGAGCCCTGTGGCAGATGCACTATTAGAGGCAGCTATGGGGGGGGGGGGGGGGGGGGGGGGGGAAAACCAGGGAGAAAGGGAAAGGGGGGGGGACCAGGGAGGGGGGGGAGGGGGGGGGGGGGGGGGGACGACTGTCGTAACACCAAGGAGAAAGTGAATAGGGACCTAACCCTGAATTGGTGGGCTGCGAGGCTTGGGGACAGAATGGAGCATATGCTGCCTGAGTGTTTCTGGTTGGGTGACTTGTCCAGAGGGAAGACAAGTATATACAAACTGCAAAAAGCTTTTGCTTTCTGAGTAGCCTTGGCTGCCCTAGACTGGCTTTGTAGACCAGGCTGGCCTCCAACTCACAGAGATTTGCATGCCTCCCTTAGTGCTGGGATCACAGGCGTTTGCCACTGTTCCTGACTACGTTTTTTTTTTTTTTTTTTCTTCTTCTTCTTTTTCTTTTTTTGGGGAGGCAGGGAGTGAGTTTTGAGACAAGGTTTCTCTGTGTAAAAGCCCTCCCTTGACTTTTTGCCTAGGCAGGTGGCACCTACTGCCGAGAACTGGGTCACAGTGATCCGGAAGTGGCCTCTTTGTAAGGGGTTACTTAGAGTATAGGGACATTTCATACTGTATTGCCATTGAGCCCCTCAGAGTTCCACTAACTGCACTTTAAAAGTACCTTTCCTTTCCCCTAACAAAGCATGTAACTGTCTTGATTGTCTTGTCTCTTGTTTTTTTTTTTTTTTTTAATTTTATTTTTTTCTAGAATTTCTCACAGCTTTAAAAATAGTCCTGAGTTGCTTGCAAGGCTTGCCAAATATAAAGTGGCTGTTGTGAGCATGAAGTTGCATGGGGGTGGGGGTGTGAGGAGCCATGTGAGGGTGGCCGACAGTTCTCAGGCAGCAGATGGGTATGGCTTCTCTCACTGCATGGAGATGTGCAGCTGGTCTTGCTAGGGAGGTCTGTGTTGCTCTTCCTTGACTCTGGCCTCTGCGCAGTGTCTCACTGTCTTTCTCCTTGCTTTGGCTAAGCAGATCAATGAACTCAGCCAGGTTCCTCCTCCAGTCATGCTGCTGCCAGATGACTTCAAGGCTAGCTCTAAGATCAAGGTCAACAATCACCTTTTCCACAGGTAAGTAGTCTTTACCCTTCTCTCAGAAATCCAGAAAAAGACAGCAGCTATGTGTGAGGTGGCTCAGGGGGTAGGGAGGTTACTACCTGAGGAGAAGGGTTCAGTGCCTGCAACTCACATGGTGTAAAGAGGGCACGGATGCCCACAGGATGACCTCTGATCTCCAGAAGACCTTTGTAGTACATACCTACCCACACTCATACAAACTAAACGTTTAAAGAAAGAAGAAGAAATAGGCTCTGCTGTAGTGGCGCACACCTTTAACTCAGCATTCAGGAGAAAGAGGCAGGAGGATCTCTGTGAGACTTTCTCAAAAATGGGACGAGACCAGCAAATAGTCTTAAAATATTGAATGAGTTAAGTGTTTTAGATATAGAGGTCAGTTTACAAGTTTTCCAGTCTACTATCTATTCTAATGCAAAAATTCAGTTTTGTTAAACACACACACACACACACACACACACACACACACACACACAAACAAATAAAGGCCAGCAAGGTGGGTCAGTAGGCAAGGACTCTTGCTTCTAAGCCTGACAAGCTGAATTCAGTCTCTAGGACCCACATGGCAGGATGAAGAAAACAGTTCCCGCAAGTTGTCTTCTGACCTCCATGTACATGTTTTGGCATACACAAACACAAAACACACACACAAAAGAATAAATAAATGGCTGGATGTGGGCACACACCTGTAATCAGGCCTACATATTGAGCTGCAGGCCAGGCAGGACTACACAGAGAAACCCTGTCTCAGAAATAACCAGTAAATCAATTAAATTTTTGAACTGAAATATTACCTACATTCTTCTATATACACCTGCTATTTTTCTTGTAGTCTGTGCCAATGAATAAATACATTCAGAAGCTTTGTCATTAGCTTCTGATAGCAATTTTGTGACAAAAATAATTACTGCCTCTAGTCCCCTTTTTGTATAAGATGATGCTATTTAAAATATCAGTAAATACTGTTAATTTTTTTGTTTGTTGTTTGGTTGGTTTTTCACTGTGTAGTTTTGGTTGTCCTGGAACTCACTCTGTAGACCAGGCTGGCCTCAAACTCAAATTCAGAGGTCCACCTGCCTCTGCCTCCCAGTGCTGGGGTTAAAGGTGTGTGCCACCACCACCTGGCAATTTTAGGATATTTTTACTGGGCTTGAGATTTAAGCAATGCTGCTGTTGGGTATACAGTTAGCCCCTGCTTTACTTTCATCATCTACCAGCCATGTGCCTTGACTTAGGCAGGCTACAATTTTTTTTTTCTATAAAATGATAACAGTATACCTTTAAAGTGGTGAAAGGATTGAGGCAGGAGCATCAAGATTCAAGGTCAGCCTCTGCTGCATAACATTTCAAGGCTAGCCCTGAGGTAAATAAGATCCTGTCTAAAAAAAACAAAACAACATCAAATAAAGTTGAGGCTGAGGAGATGGCTCAGCAGTGAAGAGCATTTGTGCAGCAAGCATTGAGACCTGAATCGCCAGTAGACATCTAAACATGCTGGGGATGGCCGTGCACTTCTGTAACTCCAGCACTGGAGCAGGCGGAGGCAAGTGGATCCGGGAACTTGAAGCAGTGGGCTCTCAGGTCAGTCTCAAAGCAGTGAGGTGGGGGCAATGGGGGGAAGACACTAACGCCTTCCCCGGCCTCCATATTCGAGCACTCAGGTGTGTGCACCCACACGTGCAAGTGCATGCGCCACACACGGTACCACACTGCACACGCTTGAGCACACACTTCACCCACTAAGGCGGTAAGTAATAGACAGGATTCGGTGAGAGTTAAATCAGGCAGTCGTGTAAAGACACTCTGTTCCAGGCAAGCTTCAAGTGAACATAAAGAGATACTATCTTCTTAAAACCTGTGTTTCAGAGAAAACCTTCCCAGCCATTTCAAGTTCAAGGAGTACTGCCCACAGGTCTTCAGGAACCTCCGTGATCGATTTGGCATTGATGATCAGGATTACTTGGTGAGAGACTACTGTGGGGTATAGGTAGTCTCAGCTAGAAAGTCTCCTGGACGATTATGTTTAGAGAACTGAGAGCCTTAGCTAATGCTGTCGTGTGTGTGTGTGTGTGTGTGTGTGTGTGTGTGTGTGTGTGTGCGCACGCGTGCGCGTGCAGGCATGGAGGGGACATCTTTGAAAACGTAATGAAACTAATCAAGCTGTTACTAAGAGTTTACATTCCGGTTCATTCAGTCATGTGTGGTAACCAAATTAGGAACCCCTGTTGAATCTCTTCCCCCAAGATTTATTGTATTTATTTATTTACTGTGGATGTGGGTGGCTTAGTGGATGTGCACTTGTGGGAGTTGCAGGAAACTTTTCCAGAATTGGTTCTTTTCCTCTACCATGTGGGCCCCAGGGATTTCATTCTGCTCGTCAAGCTTGGTGGGGGTGGGGGTGGGGGAAACCTTTCCCCTTGAACCATCCCAACAGTCTATCGCAGACTTTCATCCACTTTGAGAACAGTCATTTGGCCATTATTGTTGTATCTTTATATAAAACGGAAAGTAGAGGTGTGTTAGCCTGTTCTTTGTCTCCAGGTGTCCCTTACTCGAAGCCCCCCAAGTGAAAGTGAAGGCAGTGATGGTAGATTCCTTATCTCCTATGACCGCACTCTAGTCATCAAAGAAGTGTCCAGTGAAGACATTGCTGACATGCACAGCAACCTCTCCAACTACCACCAGGTTAGGCCTCCACAGCCCGCCCTTTGCTTTTCCTGAGCACGCACGCTCTTCTGTTTTCTGTCTCTCCCCAGAGCACTGGATATCTTCTGTTTGAAAACTTAAGAGTTTCAGGCATACCAAAAGGGCCCTGCATAGCTGCTTATGGTTGGTTTAACAAAAAACTGTGATGTGTCTCTTCCCATTCAGCACCATCATCTAAAACCACTGCTTCCTTGTTTTGTGTGTGTATGTGCATGAGCATGGAGGTCAGAGGACAACTTTCTGGAGTTAGTCATCCTTTTACCATGTGGGCTCCAGGGATCAAACTCAGACTGCCACCCTTGGTGGCAAACACTTTACCCACTGAGCCATCTATGAATTGATTTTATTTTTTTAAAAATTTATTTTATGTTTATGGGTATTTTGCCTGCATGTATGTCTGTGCACCATGAGTGTGCATGATGCCCTCAGAGGCCTGAAGATGCATCAGTTCCCCTGGAACTGTAGGTAGATACAGCTGTGAGCTGCCATATATGGGGATCGGCCCACGCCCTCTGCAAGAGCAGCAAGTGCTCTTAACTGCTGAGCCACTGCTCTAGTCCCTGATTACTTTTTTAATTAAAATTTTTATTTTTAAGCCGAGAGTGTGACACACACCTTTAACCCCAGCACTGGGAGGCAGAGGCAGGCTGATCTCTGAGTGTGAGGCCAGCCTGGTGTAAGAGTGGACTCCAGGACAGCCGGCGCTCTACAGGGAAGCCCCGTCTCATAAATCAGCTGTGTGCGAGCTTACATGTCCTTGTTTGCGGAGGGGCACCCACGGAGGTGTGCTCCTGGAAACTGGATGGCTCTAGGGAGGTGGTGCTCTCTTTCACTGTCTGCGCTCTGAGGATTGAGCTCAAGCTGACGGGCTGAGAGACTAGCACTTGCAGCTCCAGAGCCGTGTTGCCAGCCCCAAAGCTGGTTGTCGAGTGCTTAGAAGTAGAGGTTAATCACTGGACAAAGTGGTGAAGAGAGTTCTAGGCAAAGAGAAGTAGTGTTTTAAAGCATGGAACCATGAAGGTGTTTGGTACTAGGAAATTGCAAGGATCCTAGTGTGGCTGGGATGTGTAGTATTAGGAAAATTAAGCCAGAGCCAGATAATAAAAGGGCCTGTGCAGAGAAATCTGTGCGTTATCCTGGAAGTAGTTTGCAGGGAGTTGAGCATACTATTTAGAAATGAAGGGCAGGGTGTGCATCTCACACCTTGCCTGTGTGAGACCCTAAGCAAAAGAAGAAAGAAACAAAAGAAAAGAAAAAAGAAGTCTGGGAGCTCACAGAAAAGGACTAGAGGGTGCATCCCGAGAACCGAGGTGTGAGTTAGTTTTAATAGTCCCGGTGAGAGTGAGCAGAGTCTGGAAGAACAGCAGCGGGCCAGCAGGGATGCTGTGGGAGCGAAGGCAAATGAGCCTCCAGTGCGGGCACCGCTGGGCAACAATTGGGAAACAGAACAAGGAACAGGTTTCCAGAGGACGATAGTAGGGATTTGGACACTGCTTCTACAGTTTATCCCAACTGGGCTGGCCATGCGATGACTGGTGTGTGGGCAGAGGTTTCAAGAAGAATAGAGTAGGAGGGCCATTTTAGATATTGTACATCAGTAAGTGTGCATTAGAACCATTTATTACTACTTAAAAGTGTTGTGGTTTTGAAAGGAAGACTATGGAGAGAGATACCCACAAATAAATAGATATAAAATCTTTCCTAAAAATGCAAACTTCAAAAACAAAAAAATACAAACTTCAGGAAGCAAATAAACTGCCCATGCAGGAGACTAAGTGTGGATGGTCAGTGTGGGCTATTAATGCCCTAGTAGACCCATAAAGGAGACAGGAGGGACAGGAGGAAGAGAAGAGATTGCAGCAGAGTAAAGAGGAGGACGGTCAGGAGGACCAAGGGCACAGACGGGGTAGCTCAGTGACTCTAGTCCCCGCTTGGACATGGCAGCTGAGGAGCTGAGGGTTGAAATTGGATTTAGTTACTTAGCGTGTTTCCCTGAATAATGGCTTATTTATTACTTTTATTTATTTTTGCCTCATACACTTCGAGAAGGAAGACCATTCTCAGCAGTCAGACAGTCGACATCCCAGAAAATGTCAGCGTCACGCTAAAGGGTTACACAGTCATTGTGAAGGGTTCTGAGGAACTCTGCGGAGGGGCTTCAGTCACGTCAATGTAGAGCTGAGTCTTCTTGGAAAGAAAAAGAAGCCGCTCGGGCTGACAGATGGTGGGGTAACAAAGGAACCATCCGCAGTCATGTTCAGAACACGGTCGAGGGTGTTACACTGGGCTTCCCTTACAAGATGCGGTCTGTGGCTGCTCACTTCCCCATCAATGTGGTTATCCAGGAGAATGGGTCTTTGGTTGAAATCCAAAATTTCTTGAGTGAAAAATACATCTTCAGGGTGTGTAGATGAGGACAGGTTTTGCCTGTTCTGTCTCTCAAGCCCAGAAGGATGAATTAATCCTTGAAGGAAATTATATTGAACTTGTTTCAAATTCAGTGACTCTGATTCAGCAAGCCACAACAATTAAAAACAAAGATATCAGAAAGTTTTTGGATGGTATGTATGTGTCTGAAAAGGGAACAGTGCATCACGCTGATGAATAAGACCTAAGTTACTCAGCTCCAGAAACAAGATCCTGAATTATAAGTACAATTTGGGGTGTCTTTGGGAACAATAAAAGACTTACATTGAAAAAGAAAAGTTTATGTGGCCTTTAATCTCAGCACTCAGGAATAACTGTGAGTTCAAGGCCAGCCTGGTCTATAGAGTGAATTACAGGACAGCCATGGCTACACAGAGAAACCCCATCTTGAAAAAAAAAAAATGTGTACAGTGTTTTGCCTGCATACTGTCGTGTACTGTTTGTGTGCCTGCTGCCCTTGGAGGCCAAAAGATCAGTCAGATCACCTGCAGCTGGTGCTGGGTGGGTGCTGGGACTAGAACCTGGTTCCTCGAGCAGCCAGTGCTTTTAACCCCTGAGCTGTCTCTCCAGCTCTCTTGATTACTTTTCTAAGGTTATCCTTTAAGAAAAGTAGGCAGAGAGAACAGTTTTGTTTTATTTGAGATGGGGTCTTATGTAGCCCAGGGTGGCTTTGAACTTGCTATGTAGCTGAAGATGACCTTGGAGTTTAGATCCAAAGCCTTCTGCCTCCTGAATGCTCGGATTGAAGGGTGTGAGCCACCACACCAGTTCTCTCCATCTGGGCTATAACTCCAGCCCAAGAACTGTGTTTTATTTTAAGGAGATCACTCCTAGGGTCTGATACATGCCAAACAAGTACTGTACTACTCAGCTGTACTCTGGCCCTGAAAGCGTCTCAGGCTAGCCTTGAATTTATGCCTCTCTCTTCTCATCCCCACCCCAAGTACTGGAATTACAGACAGGTATCGCCATACCCAGATGAAGAGTTCACACTGTGGGCTGGGAATGTAGCTTACCCTGCAGAGTGCTTGCCTAGTATGCATGAAAACCAGCAACATAAAAACCAGCATGGTGGCACATGCCTGTAGTCCCAGCACCCAGGAGGTAGAGACTGGAGGGTCAGAAGTTCAAGGCCGTCCTTGGCTACGTAGCAAGTTTGAGACTAGCCTGGGCTAACTGAGACCCTCCATCAAAAAGTAAACAAAAGAATTCAGGTTGTGAGGTTACTATAATACCAGCACTTGGGGGACAGAGTGAGGAGAGCAAGTGTTTATTTGATTTAGTTTTAATAAGTCAACAATTATTAATATTTTGTTGTTAGATTTTTTTATGTGGTTGTTTTGCCTGCATGTATGACTTTGCACCATATGCATGCCTAGTGCCTGAAGAGGTCATGGAACTGGAGTCACATGTGGCCATGAGCCAACCGTGTGGGTGCTGGGAATTGAACCAGGTCCTCTGGAAGAGCCATCTCTGCTCCAAGTGTTCCTGGTGGTAACATCTGACTCAGAAAACAAAAGAGAAATGGGCTAGAGTGAGGACTTCCTGATGAGAAGCACTTCCTTTTCATCCCAAGTCCCTGAGTTTGGAGGCTCACAGCAACTGAACTTCCAAGGGGTCCTCTCCTGGCCTCCTAGGGCATTCACACAAACATGAAGATTTTATTAATTTCATTCATTCATTCACATAGCATTCTGCCTGCATCTGTGCCTGCTCACCAGAGGAGGGCACCAGATCTCACTATAGAATGGCTATGATTTACCATGTCATTGCTGGGAATTGAACTCAGGCCCTATGTGGAAGAACAGCCAGTACTCTTAACTTCTGAGCCATCTCTCAAGCCCCCATAAATGAAGATTTTTTTTTTTAAACATAAGAACATAAGTCTTTGCCAGGTGTGGTGACTCATGCCTTTAATCTCAGCATTAGGAGACAGAAGCAGGTGGATTACTTTAAGTTTAAAGCCAGCCTGGTCTACAAAATAAGTCCAGGACATCCAGGACTACACTGTGAAAGTTTGTTTCCAACAAAACAAAAACCCAAACAAATTCAGATGTATTGCAGATCCCCTTGACGACATTTATAGTACAGGGAGCTAGCCCACCAAGCAGCATTTCATTGATAAGTAAATCCTAAGTTTAACCGGTTCTGTGACATTTGTACAGAGCCTAAAATAATAATAGCTACTTTCCTTGAAAAATTATAAAGGTAGCCCGATAAAGTGGCTTGTTCCTGAACTCATAATGCTTAGAAAGTAGAGGCAGGAAGATGAGGAGTTCAAGACCAGCCCCAGCTATGTGAGACTCAGACAACAACAAAGGGAACGGAAACAGTGAAATGAGAAACAGTGCTTTAAAATTAAGAGAGAATTGCAAATAGAAGGCAGGAGGGAGGGTTTCAGAAACTTGGTGACCAGGAACAGTTTTAGGGAGTTGCCACCTCCTGACTTTACAAGCTCTGTGCTGGAGGTTTTTGCCAGCCTGTGGAACGGTAGGGCTGCTCCTGGGCAGCCTTCCATTACCCTTCCTCTCGCTGTGTCCCCAGTACATAGTGAAGTGCCATGGCAGCACGCTTCTGCCGCAGTTTCTGGGCATGTACAGAGTCAGCGTGGAGAGTGAAGACAGCTACATGCTTGTGATGCGCAACATGTTTAGCCATCGCCTCCCCGTGCACAGGAAGTACGACCTCAAGGTAAGAGCAGTGTAACCTGGGCTAATGGAAGTGCTGCTCCTGGCCTGAGAATGGGGAGGTCTTGGGTGGATCCTGGGACGCTGTGGAAGGAGAGGTACAGCTTTGACTGCACCCTATGCCTTCTGCCTGTTCCTTAGTCTTTGATCTCTTCACAGGGCTCTCTCGTGTCCCGGGAAGCCAGCGATAAGGAAAAGGTAATATTCCTTTTAGGTGATACTGAGGGTTAGGGATGAATGAAAGCAGTTTCCTTAAGATAAAGAAGCCATTCTCCATAATGGCTACAAATTGCCAGACGTGTATTCTTACCTGAAACTATTGAAAACAGATAATAAGCTAGTGACCTGGGGGAGCAGCGGGGACAGCTGCATTGATTTTAACACAGGTTATTCCATGTTGAAGGTTTGGGGATAGGTGGGAAGGCCAGCCTTGAAAAGCAAAATGCTCATTTCCCACACCTCATCCTGGGCTCTTGTGTTCAAGTAGCTATTTTTACTGAAGAAGAAGAAGAAGGAAGAAAAGTCAGTACGGAGGATATTGTCTGTAATCCATAAGCAGACAGTGGTGGGTGTAAGATGAGGTTCAGCTTACTGAGTCCAGGCATTAGGCAACTGTGAGACTGCTGTTCTCTTCATAGCCTCCGAGGTTGAGAGCCCTGGATGGACGGATCCCTGTGGTAGGGCTGTATTCCCAAGACACCCTTGTTCCTATTCTAGGTTAAAGAGCTGCCTACTCTGAAGGATATGGACTTCCTTAACAAGAACCAGAAAGTGTATATTGGTGAAGAGGAGAAGAAAGTATTTCTGGAGAAGCTGAAGCGAGATGTGGAGGTAATTAGGGTACTTAGAAATGCCTTATTTAATAAAAGAAGAAAAATACTGTATTTTGTTTTTAATTTTTTTGGCTTTTAAGTTGTCTTCTATTCATGACATAAGATTTTTCTTGCATTTATTTAGTTATTTGTTTGTTTTGGTTTTCTGAATGGAGGGTTGAGGATGAAACAGGAGAAACTCTGAGGCCCATTGTGGGGTAGGGGGTGGGTGGGGTTGGGGCGCTGTTTTGAGTGAGTCAGAGGACTCACTAAGATCCAGTGGCGGGCTGTGCCCTCAGTCTGTCTCCCTCTTCCTGGGCGGTACCTGGAGTTGGGTGGAGATCTGGCTTTCTGATGTGTCAGTGGGTCTCAGTTTCTAGTGCAGCTGAAGATCATGGACTACAGCCTTCTGCTGGGCATCCACGACATCATCCGTGGCTCTGAGCTGGAGGAAGAGGGGCCTGTGCGGGAGGACGAGTCAGAGTGGGATGGGGACTGTAACCTGACTGGCCCCCCTGCTCTGGTGGGCTCCTATGGTACCTCCCCTGAGGGCATTGGAGGCTACATTCATTCCCACCGGCCCCTGGGCCCAGGAGAATTTGAGTCCTTCATTGACGTCTATGCCATCCGGAGTGCCGAGGGTAAGAGGGAGCCTGGGAATGCTAAGGAGGTGATGGGGAGCTCGGGGGTTGGGGGACAGAAACCAGGGTGGAGGAGCCACTCAGCTTTTCACAGCAAAACTGGCTCCTAGTGGGAGGAACTGGGACTTTGTATGCCCTGTCCTCATTGTTAGTCTCTCCCCAGGGGCCCCCCAGAAGGAGGTGTATTTCATGGGCCTCATTGACATTCTGACACAGTACGATGCCAAGAAGAAAGCAGCTCATGCAGCAAAGACTGTCAAGCATGGGGTGAGAGTTCCCCAAAGCCTGCCCTTTCCTGGCCTGGCTCTTCTCTAGGGAGAGCCTCTTGGGTCAGAGCAGTAGGATGGTCGAGGGTAGGACATAGGTGGGCTGAAGTGGTAGGTGGGGCTCCTGACACACTGTTCCATGTTTCTTCTCACAGGCGGGGGCTGAGATCTCCACTGTCCATCCCGAACAGTATGCTAAGAGATTCCTGGATTTTATTGCCAACATCTTTGCCTAAGAGACTGCGTGGCTCCGTGGTGATTGCTGATTTATGTTGAAGGTGGCGGGTTCTGAGAGGCTTAGGGGAGCTGGATTTGCCCACTACTTCTCTTTGCTAAATTCAGGCTGCAGGCTTTTTCCATCCAGATAACTTCATCTTGGTGGATAGGCTTTTCCTGCCCCAGAAATACACTGTCCTTTCTCCTTTGTCCATTTTTCTGTCCTCTGTCCTTGCTACCATAAGCCCTCTTGCTTCATTAGAGTGTTATTGTTGACTCTCCTAAGTGCCTTGATCTTTGAAAAATATCTTGTTTCTATGAACTAGGAGGAGCTGGGGGTAGGGGTTGTTTGCCATCTTCAAGACGTGACTGGACAGTGGACATGGCGCAAGCAACTACCCAGGATGTCCTTTGCTGTGTGGAAGAAACTGAATGTCTGCATTTTGCTGATACCTTTATAGGGCTCTTTGTGGCATGCTCCCTTCCTGGTAGGCCCTGGAATGGAGGGCTCTCAGGATACTCCAGATGTGGGTGCAGGCATTCCCACATGAAAGATCTGGTGGAGGTGAGGTGGGGCGTGGTCAGCAGGCTGGTACCTCACAGAGGCAGGACCTAAGTGGACTTTTGTGACTATACAGAGAATGGAGAAGGTTCCTGTCAACCATTGACGGCTCTCCGTTCTCTTCTTCTACCCCACCCCACTTTCACTCTAGCCACGAGTACTTGTGTATGCAGGAGCCCAGAGAACAGATGTGTCCAGCCTAGGTGCAGGTGTGAGACTTCTGCTGCACTGCCCCAGAACCCTTCGACTTGGGGGAGTGTGCTGGCCAGGCCGGAGGGCAGGCTCATTCCCCATGTGAAGTTTCCTTCCTGGCCAGTTACTCCCAAGGTTCCTTTCTAGCAGAAGGGAATAGCTCTATCAGGGCCAGTTTCCATAATTTCCAGAGGATAAGGATCTTGAGTGTGGGAACCTCCCCATCCTCTGGACACATATATGCAGCACACTTTGTCCCCCTTCTCAAACCCTTTTTCTAGTTGGATTTGTTATTCTGTTCCCTTCTGTCCCCTCTTACACTGCTAATGTGTCTCCCGGGGGACAGATGGCTTTCTTTGTCATCTTTCCACCCCCACAGAGGAGTCAGAGCCATAACTCAATCTCCTGGTCCTCTCCAAGGAGAGCTGAATTAATAAACAATATCCTCAGAATGTAGAGGAGCTGCTAGCCATGGTAGCTCGTGCCTGGAAACCCTGCACTCAGGAGGCTGAGTCAGAATTAGAGGTCAGGGCCAGCCTGGGCTACAGAGTGAGGCCTGGTCAGCTGACGTGGATTTGCGCCGGAGACTACCTCAGTTGGTAGAGCAATGGCCTAGTGCGTACAGAGCTCTGGGCTCCGCCGCCGGCAGCACCACAGAAGCCAGGTGTGGCCTAGCACTTGGGAAGCAGTGGCAGAGAGGATCAGGCATTCAAGGTCATCCTCAGTTACAAGGGCAGTTGGAGGCCAGACTATCTTGGGGAAAAGATCCGAAGATGAGGTAGATGTCTTTGTCTCTACACAAAGCCTTTGGAACCAAGACACATTCTGGATGTTCTGTTCCCCTTTAGACCTCCACGCTGGGGAGGTGGGGATGGACACTGAGGGCTCAAAGCTGTGTTAACTGGCCCCAGGTCCTCAGGGAAAAGCTCACCCTTTCAACCTTTGCACCAAAGGGGAGGTGGCCGGGGAGGGGCCTGCTGGGTCTCTTCCATCCTACACCAACCTTTGCACATGAATGCAATAGAGTGACACCAGCAGCCATTCTTTAAAACTAGAACCGGATTCCCTGACCATGAAGTTGTGTAGCATGGGAAGTATGGTCATCTTCATTTATTGCTTCTGTTTTCCATCATTTTTGTTTTGTTAATAAAACATCTGTATTTACTCCCAATATCACAATAAAATAAATTATTCCATCCGAATCATTAACAGAAATGTTCTTTTTTCCTTTTGAAAACTGAGGAATCTTGTGTTGAAGAGATACAAAGACCAACAGAAGAATATTGGTCTTCAAGGTGTTGGGCCCCTGAGTATGGGTGCGTGTATGAGTGTGTGTATACATGGCACTAACGGTGGCTAGGGAGGGGGATGAAGGGTCCTTCTCCCCGTGCCCTGGTTCCTCCGTCTGTTAAGTGGGCTGAGCATACTGTTTGGGAAGGAATTCTGTGCTCACCCAGGCTTCCTGGGAAAGCTATCTGCTTAGAGGGCAGGAAGAGTACAGCAGGGTCCTGGGAAAGTGAAGGAGTGGCGGGTCCTCCAGCTCAGCAGGGAGGGGATGGCGCGGGCTGGACGGTGGGCGTTGCTAGTCTGGGAGAGTCAGTCTTAGCTGCGAGGTCTTTTGGCTGGTGGAAAAACCTGGCTGGATGTGGCCCCAGGGAAGTGAGCTGGAGGAGGCGGAGACAGCTCTGATGGGAAGCAGAGGTTTTTCTCTTCGGGGAATTTTTAACTCTATTTGAGCCATGTACTTGACACTACCACCACCTCAGCCATTTTAAAGGATCTAGTCATTTCGCATTCTGCACCGACCCTGTGTCCCTATTTGTGGAAATCTAGTCATCAGTCCCTATCTGGCAACAGGCTGTGGGGGGTCACCAGAGGTGACACTGGAGGGAGGCCATTGAAGCAGTTCAGACACGGGGTTTATTTTGTAGTACCAATGTTTTCCTTTTTACTAAAACCTTTCCCATCCAACATACTCCTTTAAAGCTCTTGCAGTGTAAGATTTAAAAAATTGCCCTCCTCTCCAAATTCATCTACCCACTCACTGCTCACGCACCTGTCCCTACCAGTTCTCAAAAGTGCCGCAACTGGCTGGGAAAGAAAAGGGGAGAGGGCTCCTCTGGGAGGGGAAGCCAGAAGGGTCTGTAAGGGATTTAACCTCCTACCCTCGGTTACATGACGCCACCCCTCCCTTCAAAGCCTGGAGCTGCGCCTCCATTTTTGTTTTGGGGCAGAGAGGCAGGGGCTCCTGGGTAGGAGGGGGTCAAAGGAAACGGTGGCTATCAGCCGCCACGGGGAAAGGGTGCTGTCCTCCCTCTTTTCTCTCAGTGTGCACCCGGCATCCCCTTCCACCTTCTTGGGGTCTCCCCCTCCCGCCCCCTTGTTGCTAAGGCCCGGACCGTCATCCCAGCAACAGCCACAGTCATGTGACCGGCAATGGCGGCGCTGACGAGAGGTAGGTGAGCCCGGCGCCCCCACACCCACCGCGTGCCCCCCAGGCCCGGTCCACACCCTCACAAGCCCCCGCCCCCTCCACCCCCTCTTCCGCCTTTGACCCCCACAAGCGCGCGGCGGGGGGAGGGGGCACCCCCGGGGCCGGGTCCAGCATCTTCCCCGCACCTCAGGCCCTGGCCTCCGTTTGGGGGTTCTGAGGGCCGCAGTCGGGTGGACACACACCCTCATCAATTGGAGGGACTCCGGGGCTTCCTCAAGTAGGAATGCGGGACTTGGTTTCGGGTTGGATGGATCCGGGAGCAGGTATGGGGGAGAAGGGTGGGGGTGCTCAGTGGATACCCCCCCAGGGAACCCTTGCCCTTTCTCACCGGCCCTGCCGGTGGCTGCTGTCTGGAGGAAGACACTGGTCTAGTGTCCGGCCTGGTTTGCCCCAGAGAAATGCTAGACCCAGACTAAACTGTGGCCCCGCCTCCCTGTACTGTGCCAGCAGGACTTGGAGCTAGGACACCTAGATCCTGGGTCCTCTCTGTTGGGGAGGGGTCATTTCATCTTGCACAGGACTGGGGCGGGTAAGACTCTAGGTTTTCGTGTTAAGGACCCTATGATGGAGGCACAAATGGATAGCGGCTTCTTTTTGGATCAGTCAAGAAATTGAGGTCACATTAATGGCCCCTCTTCCTAGCTGAGCTGCACTTTGTCTTGTGGGAACAGCCTTGGAGCCGAATGTGACAGTCAGGGGACAACCTCGGGCCCCTCTAGCTGAGCTGCTTGAGTCCCGCCCCCCTGCATGCAGCCCCAGGAGCTGACAACAGTTCTGCGGGTGGCCACGGGGTCTTTAAAGGTGACAGTGAGAACTTTTTCATTGCACGGATTGCGACCGCTTTTGCTGGCATCCCTAACAGACTTCGGCTCTCAAGGAAAGTCCCTGTCAACAACAGGGACTGGAGTTGTTTGAAAATACGGAGTAAAGAGATATGTTGAGGAGGATAGGAAGTATTTCTGTCAGTGTAATCTGAGGGAGGTGGCAAGTACGACCTTCATCCTACGAGGGCCTTTTTTTTTTTCCTTCCTGTCTTTATCTGCACCTAGGATCTCCCTCTGCACTGGGGGAAAAAGAGGAGTTAGCCTGATGAAGTACCTTGAACTTGGAGAGGATTCTGCAGGGGAGGAGAGGAGATAGAAGAGCGTTTTGTTTCTGGGCTGGCTGAGGAAATGCTATCATAACTCTTTGCCTTCCTCGTCCCCAGCTCTGGTCAGCTGAATGTGGAAGTGGAGGGGCTTCTGCTGCTGTCACCTTCATGGTCTCCTCAGGTACTTGTGCCCAGGAGAGCCTCAGCTCTCAGGTTCCTCTTGAGTTCCAAGGAACACAGAGCCCCACCCCGGGCTCCTCCCTGCTCCAGGTCCCTGTCGGTTTTAAGGGAGTTGGGCCTGCAGGGGTTGAGAGACGGGTTTCTTACCTCCTTTCCTTTTTCATCCTACCAGGCCACATGCTCTCCAAGCAGCGGGGAAAAAGAGAGTGAGCCTGCATGCCAATTCTAAGCACTTCCGGATCAAAGTGAGCAAAAAGGGGGAAGGGTGGGAATTCTCCTTCCCCTTTGAAGAGCTTCCCCCCCCCATCCACTCTGAGGGGAAGGGGCAGGTTGTTGTGGTGAGGGGAGAGATGGAGGAAGTAAGCAAGGCTGACTCCTGGCTTAGATAATGATGAAATACGGAAATTTGTTCCCCAGCAGGTGCTGGGACTATGGGAGTGAAGGGGAGATAGAAAACCAATTTGCAGGAAATGCTGGGGGTTGGCTTTGAGGAAAACAGAGGTAATACGGGGTTTGGGAGAAAGCTGAAGTAGGAGTCACTTATGTGTCAAATGGGGACTCCCCGCTCTGAGTCCCTTTCACCCTGGGGGCAGTGTCGTTCGTCCTGTCCAGAATGGCAGCCTGTGGAGGCACCTGCAAGAGCAAAGTGACTGTCTCCAAGCCTGTGTGGGACTTCCTGAGCAAGGAGACCCCAGCCCGGCTGGCCCGGCTTCGGGAGGAGCACCAAGTGTCCATCCTCATAGATGGCGAGACTTCTGACATCTATGTGCTCCAGCTGTCCCCACAGGGTCCTCCCCCAGCCCCTCCCAATGGGCTCTACCTGGCCCGGAAGGCTCTCAAGGGGCTACTGAAAGAGGCAGAGAAAGAGCTGAAGAAAGCTCAGAGGCAGGGGGAGCTCATGGGCTGCTTGGCTTTGGGGGGTGGTGGGGAGCACCCTGAGCTGCACCGCCCAGGACCACCTCCTCTCCGAGCAGCCCCACTCCTGCCCCCAGGGGCAAGAGGGCTTCCCCCTCCTCCCCCCTTGCCCCCTCCACTTCCTCCTCGTCTTCGGGAGGAGACTGAAGAGCAGGAGAGCACCTGCCCCATTTGCCTGGGGGAGATCCAGAATGCCAAGACACTGGAGAAGTGCCGGCACTCCTTCTGTGAGGGCTGCATCACACGGGCCCTGCAGGTGAAGAAAGCCTGCCCCATGTGTGGCCGATTCTATGGGCAGCTAGTGGGTAACCAACCCCAGAATGGGCGGATGCTGGTCTCCAAGGATGCCACCCTCCTGCTGCCCAGCTACGAGAAGTACGGCACCATTGTTATCCAGTATGTCTTCCCACCCGGAGTCCAGGGGGTAAGAAGAGCAGTCCTCCCTACCTGTTGGTTTTTTCCAAGTTCATCCTCTGACCTAAAAAAATCAGTGATGCGGGAGCCTCTTGTTAGACACTCTTGCTGTCTCCTGGTATGCTTGATGACTTGTGCTCCGGAGCTGGGGTGGGGGTGTCTCCTTGAGGCTCAAAGGCATGTAAAACTCTGGCCTGAGGGCTAGGGCTAGAGTGTAGCTCAGTGGTAGAACATATGTCTGTCCTACAGGGAGCCCTGAGTTCAACCCCTGACCCAAGAAAACCAAATCAAACAAGAAAAAACAAAACAAAACAAAAATAACAACCCTTAAAACTAGGCATGACAGAAGGGCTTAGACACCATCACCCTGACTTGTGTGGGTATGACAGACATTTTTGGTGGAGGCAGAGCCTGGAATTAGTGATCCAGGTGGAGGAAGGCCCAGCAGGAAGGGACCAGGCTGTTCTAAAGCTGGGAGTGCTAACTCTTCCAGATCAGGAGACAATAAAAGCTTAATGAAAGTTAAAGGTAAATTTCAACTCCTTGTCTTCCTGCTGGACAAAGAGTCATGTCCAGCTGGTTCACAGAGGGACAGAGAAACTCTGGGAAAAAAAGAAAAGAAACAGAAAAAGTGGAATGATGACACAGCCACACAACCATTAGTATTTTAGGTAGGGGAGGGAATGCCAAAAGATAACTTTTCTTATTTGCCACATTGTTGCTGAATTATCTCAAAAGTAACCTCTGTCACTTCTGAGAGCCTTTTGTTCCCGAATTGAGACTTGAGGGGTTACCAATAAGGACTATGTTAAGAAACAGGCTCTTGCTACCCAGGCCCCAATGCCACCCTTTCCCTGGAAAGTTGTCTGTTGGGAATGCATGGACAGAAGGCAGGCCAGACTGACCCTGTTTTGGTATCCAGGCCTTTGAGACAGCCAACTGCTCTGTACCTCCTCTTCCTCTCAGGCTGAACACCCCAATCCAGGAGTCCGGTACCCTGGCACCACACGGGTGGCCTACCTCCCGGACTGCCCTGAGGGAAACAAGGTGCTGACCCTGTTCCGGAAGGCTTTTGACCAGCGTCTCACCTTCACTATTGGCACGTCCATGACCACAGGGAGACCCAACGTCATCACCTGGAACGACATCCACCACAAGACCAGCTGCACGGGGGGACCCCAGCTGTGCGCCTCCTACCCATTTCCCTCCCCTGGCTCCTCCCCCTTCTCATCCCAAACTGCTCAGCCACCAGTTCCTCCTCAGTCTGTTTTTATCCTGGTCCTGATATAGTCAGCTTAAACTATCCCCCCCCCCCCCCCAAAAAAAAAAAAAAAAAAAAGCAGGCTCTGGCTGGATTATCTGGGTTGTGGAGGTCCTTCCTCATGGGGAGGAGGGGGGGTGTCTAAATTTGGCCTCTACTGAGTCACTCAGAATGAGAGTGGGTAAAAAAGAACAATTCCAAACAACTAACTCTGACCTTCATCTCTCTTTGCTCCAGGTTTGGGTATCCGGACCCCACCTACCTGACTAGGGTGCAAGAGGAACTGAGAGCCAAGGGTATCACAGATGACTGAAGGCCTTCCCTTTGCCGAGGCTCCTGCGGAAGCCTCTGTCCTCCTCTTTCTCTCTCTCTCTCTTTCTCTGCCCCCGTACCACCCATGAGGGGATTTGGCTGACTGGGGTGGGATTTCAGAGGGGAAGGTGGCAGTCCCTTCCCCTGCTCCCCACTTGGCCAAGTGCTTCAGGGCCCTTTGAGCCATTCCCCTCTGGCAGAGGCTGGTTTCCAAGGCTCCCCTCCTGCTCTCTGTGTACATACTCTCTGTGCCCCTGCTCCTCCAGCGTCCTCGGCTTTTCCTGGTATGTACTGTGCTCCAGTGATGAAGCTGAGAAAGGACCTGGGTAGGGAGGATGGGGATTCTTGAACTCCAGCCCCTAAACACCGACTCACCTTGGACTGATACTAGCCACCTCCCCCAGCCAGCTGTGTGTTAAGATAACAGTAGTCCTACCTTTCCTTATGGATCCTTTCTCTCCTGTGTCTGTCTGTCAGTCTGTCTTTCTCTCGCTCTTCTCTGCCCCTATAAGGAGCCTACTCACCCTGATCTGGAATTGCTGCCAGACTGTAGCTTTTAATTTAATAAAAATAAAGTCAAATATGCAACTCTATGCCACACCCATTTTCTGTTCCTGGGACAGGGCGGGGTGGGGAGGGGAGCAGGACCCACGGAGGAGACGGGGTGATGGGGAGTCCTTGCATGCCTGCTAGACCCTGGGAGACGGGGTAGAACTGGCGCTGGGCGCTGCAGTAGCCCTGCAAAGCCCTAGGGCACACTTCGATTGATGGGATCGGGACTGAGACGGGGTTGTCGTTCAACTGCATTTGAGGAGAAAGGGAAAACGCTACCCCTTTTGCGAAGTTTGGCCGCGGTGGGAGTCGGGGCGGAGCCGGGCGGGGGGCGGATTCAGCTGTAGCAACTCCCCGGACGCACGCAGGCCTCAAGAGCCCCCAGCTTCCGTGGTCCCTCAGCCCTGAAACCTGAAGCAGGGTAGGGGGTCCAGTATGAAGCCCCCGGACCGCCCCACCTCTGGCCGCACTGACCGGATACTGGGGGTCATGGGGGGCATGCTGCGCGCATGCGCCGTACCCAGGCAGGAGGGGGTAAGAAGGAGGGACCGCGGATGGGGTCGGGGGTCTTCAGGGGACTTCAGGAGAATTGCACTCCACGACTCAGTTTACCCGCAAACAAGTTATATAGAGCAGTTGCAGGGATCCCTGAGTTCAGTTATGAAGGCCTTAGGCCAAGGTCGTGTTGATCCTTTCAGAAAAATGTGCATTTTGACAGGAGGAAGAGGGGGAAGGGAGGTCAAGGCAGCCTGGGAGGTGTTTCCTTACAGTGACTGTCTCCGCAGCCCCCGAAAAGAGATCCCTTAGGGCCCGCGAGTACCAAGACAGAGAGTGATTGCACGGAGGAGGCTCAGACAGGGGAGCGCCAGCGTGAGGTCCTCGCCTGGGCTCCGCAGCCCGGTAAGAGCTTGGGTGGGGCACAGCTGGCCATCCTGCGCGAAGTGGGGACTTCAGATAGGTTCTGTTCATATTAATATAAAGGTTTGCACCTAATTTGCTCGGGACCATTAAATTGCAGACACCACGCTTCTCTTCGCCTTTCAGCACGATGTGTGTCCTCACTTCGGCGGGTCCTGAGCCCCCGAAGGCTGAGTGGAGTGTCCCCGCGCCTCACCCCTGGCCCTCGGCCAGCTCGGGCGCCCGGACTTCGCCTTAATTGGTGATTAGTTTTAGCTGGAGTGCTGGGGCCTGGAGGAAAGAAGGGTCGGGGGGAGAGGGCGGCACCTGGGCTGTGTTCCCAACAAAGTGCTCCCCATACACGCACGCTTTGCGTGGGGCGGGGGCAGACAGCCAGAACCCCAGACCGTTTCACACGCGCCTGGCCCCATCCAGCGAACCCTTCATCTCGGAGGCCGACGCGGACCCCACCTCCAGGCTCCTCGCCTAGCCCGGCGCCCCGCAGTCTCGGCTGGGGATGCCAGCGGGAGCAGGATCTTGAGCAGGGGAGCCCAGGCCGGGGAGGAGGGTGGAGGCCTCGGGACGTGGGGTGGGAGCGTGGTGGTGCCTGGGGGTGGGGGCTGGGGGACAGCGGGAGAGGCGGAGCCGGCCCCAGAGGCCCCTCCCCGCGGCAGCTCGGCGTCCCGGCCTGTTATTCCTTTCGCCGCTCGCTCCGACCCGCGCGGCTCCAGTGGCTCCGGGAGTCGGCCCCGCAGCTCCCCGCCCGGGCCTAGAGCCACCTCTAAGCCGAGGCCGGAGACGGAGCTGGAGCGGCTGTCGCATCCCGGCCGGCCCTCCCCCACTGTCCCTTCCTCTGGCTGGACATCTGGACTCTGGGCCCCGCACCACCAGGGTTCCGGAAACCCTCCCCGCCCCACTCCACGGCCCAGCCCCGCACGGCCCTCCCCCCCAGACTCCCCTGCCTCGACTTCCGTCTACTCCTGGACCCCCTGCTTCCCCTCCCTTCCCTTCACCCCCTCCCCAAGCCTGGACCCCGGAGGGAGGGAGGGGGGTGTGCGCCCTGCGCCGTCCCCGCCCCGCCCCCCGTGATTCCCCCTGCATGGCTGGCCCGGGTGGGGGGTGTGGGGGGGCCCGGGCGCCATGCGGGGGGGTCACAAAGGGGGTCGCTGTGCCTGTCCCCGTGTGATTCGAAAAGTGCTGGCAAAATGCGGCTGCTGCTTCGCTCGGGGGGGACGTGGTGAGTGCGAGATCTGGGGGCGGGGGCCAGCATTGAGTTGGGGGGCGGCTAGAGCTGGGGTTTAGGGCATCTGCTTACTCTGACCCTACGAATTTAGGGCTGGAGCCTGTGTGTGGGTTTTCCAGGAAAGTGCTTTAACAGGATTTCTAAGGTCCTTTCTACTTCTAGATTTATACTGATTCAAGCTGAGGAAACTGAAGAAGGGTCGAAGGACTCATTTCTTTCCTATAATCAACCAACTAGGAGGAAAAATTCTCTCATGATCTTCTTAGGCCCGGAACCTTGTGTCTTGCCTCACTTGACTGAAAATCTTCCTAAAAGGGCCCAGAGGATGATGAACTGGAGGGGGGGGGGGCGAGGGGGTACCTATCTGTGAAGGGTTTTATTAGAACTCTAATCGCAGCTCTTCTTAATTGTTGGCAAAGATAACCCTGCCCAGCTGTCCTCCCTGCCCCGCGTTGTACTGGAGAGGTGGGCTGTCCAAAACAAAAAATTTTTATATAGTGTTTCCTAGTGGGAGGGGAGGGACCTGGGGGTGGCAGACAGCTAAGTTCTTTCGTTCTCACCCCTCTCTGGGAGAATGGTCTGTACCATTGGAAGGGGGAGTGTTGTAGGAAGGCAGATGGCTACCCCCAGTCCCAGTATTTGCCCAGATGGCTGCCCCTACCCCCATGCTCAGGGTATGGGGAACCTCCACAGAGAACTGGAGGAGTACAGGCCTAGGAGCCAGGTGTGGCCTGCCCTTCCTCCCCAGGGTGCCATCGCAGAGATTTCCAACTTCACTAACTCAAGTGAGGGAACCCTGGAAGACAGGATCTGAATAGTATGGAGGGGACATCTCCTAAGACCCTAAGTCTGGAGTTGGGGCAGTGTCCTTCAAGTCCTGTCTCCCCTCCCCCCATTAGAATCCTGTTCCATCGCTGGCAGTGAGGGGAGCATGTCAGCCTCTGCTGTCTCAGGCCTGGCTGCCCTGTCTGGCCCCAGCTCTGGCCTCAGCTCTCATCCTTGTTCTCCGGTGCCCCCTGCACCGGTAACTGGCCTGAGGAGATGGTTGGAACATTCCAGACATTGTCTCAGTGTGGAAACTGAGGCAAACAGTGGTCAAACAGGACAATATGAGGTGAGCAGGTAGTGCCACAGAAGAAAGATGCTGGGAAAGAGGATGGGTTGGGGTCACTGGCCATTGGGGAACCTACAACCTCAGTAGTTCATCACTGGACCTCAGTCACTGGACCTCTCTCTGTCCAGAGCTGGATGCTGGAGCCGACTCTAGCCACAGGAGAGGAGTTGCCAGAGCTAACCTTACTGACTACATTGTTGGAGAGACCTGGAGACAAGGCGCAGGTATGAGGAAACAGAGCCAGGCATGCAGTGTGCGCCTGTTCAGGCCGACCTCAGCCACATAGCAAGTTTCAGGCTGTCTGTGCTGTGAGATCATGTTTCAAAATCGGGCTGAGTCCCAACTTTAGTTCCTAGCACCCAGGTCCTGTGACTCAAAACTGCCTCTATCTCCAGCTCCAAAGTACCCAGCACCCCCTTCTGGTCTCTGCGGGTACCTGCACACACATGTCCCCAAACATCGTGATGATAAATCTTAAGCCATGTGTGGTGACTCACACCTTCAGTCTCAGCACTCCAAGGGTAGGTGGATCTCTGAAGGTTCAAGGCCAGCCTGCTTTATATAGCAAGTTTCAGAATAGCCAGAACTACCTAGAGAGACCCTGTCTCAAAACAAATCTTAAAAAAAAAAAAATGGAATGAATGAATACCGATCTGAGAAGGCTCTCTTCACTGCCCTGGGATGTTCTTCCTTCCAGCCACCTGAAGAGGAAACTTTGTCTCAGGCTCTTGAGAGTGAGGAAGAACAGAAGAAGGTGGCCCTGGAAAGAAGTATGTAAGTTCAGAATGTACTGTGGCTGCTGGACTTCCACAAGAACTCTCCCATCCCCAGCCATCTGAGGTGGTGATGGAAGGTCTCTCAGTGTGGGAAAAACTGCTAATCTAAGGCTGTGGCCTTTCAGAAGTGACACTGTTCCTTTATTCCTGCGCTCCCTAGGTTTGTCCTGAGCGAGCTGGTAGACACAGAAAGAATGTATGTGGATGACCTGGGGCAGATTGTCGAGGTAACTCTCCGCTCTCCTTCCCAGCCACGGTCTGTTGATCCTTCCCTCTGCCTAGGGGTGTTTTCAAGAGGTGGTCGTCTGGGCCACCTTCTTGGGCCGCACTACTTCTGGACTTTGTCTGAGCTTCCCGGAGCCGGGTTTGCACTCATAGCCCCATCTGATCTTTCCCGCAGGGTTACATGGCTACCATGGCTTCTCAGGGGGTCCCTGAGAGTCTTCGAGGTCGTGACAGGATTGTGTTTGGGAACATTCAGCAGATCTATGAGTGGCACCGAGAGTGAGTGATGGAACCCGAGCTGGGTGCTGGGGAAGGGTCATCATCTTGTAGTCTCTCTATCCTCGATTCTGCATCTGACCCACGGGTCCACCGTGACACAAGGAGCCCTTTGGGGTTTTGTAGGGAGAATGACTAGGGCGTATAACTGAAAAGCTAGGATCTTAAGCCATGTGAAAAGCTAAGGAAGGTGGAGTGTTCTGAGGAATGTTTGAGACTCTCTCAACTCTTCCAGCTATTTCCTGCAGGAACTGCAGCAGTGTTTGAAAGATCCTGATTGGTTGGCTCAGCTGTTCATCAAACATGTGAGGCTGGGCCCTGGCAGGGGAAGGGCTTGGGATGGGTCTGGGCTCTGTGGAGGTGTGCCTGCTTTGGTCGTTACCCTCTTTGCCTTTTCCAACATTCTCCGCTAGGAGCGTCGGCTGCACATGTATGTGGTATACTGTCAGAATAAGCCGAGGTCAGAACATGTGCTGTCAGAATTTGGGGACACCTATTTTGAGG